AGTATGAGATATTTTTAGCTGCTTGTAAGTCGTTTATTCAAGCAGAGTATGAGATATTTTTTAGCTGCTTGTAAGTCGTTTATTCAAGCAGAGTATGAGATATTTTTTAGCTGCTTGTAAGTCGTTTATTCAAGCATAATAAATTTAGCTGATACCTACTTAAATTGCTACATTTATTTTTTAAGCAACCATTTTATATTTAGTGATGGGCAGAACGCGAATAGCCCATTGTGTAACTTTGCGCTTAACTACAATTAAACCAAATACTTGGTGATATCTGTGCTTGTGTCTACAACCTCCCGAATGATATTACTGAACTTGCTTAGACATTATTGTTTTTAATCTAAATCATTATTTCACAAAAGTCTGTGTGCTTGTGTTCACTTATAATTTGCGAACTACCATATCGATTTTCACCAAACTTGACATTTACCTTTAGGACGATCCCATGATGGCCCCTATGTCTTTCCCCGTGCGTTGAACGAGTAAGTCAACTAATATTTCACATTTAAATCAAAGCTACACGACAGTTATCTGTGCTAGTCCTCCCTAATTTTCAAAATGGTAAACTAGAAGAAACTCAACAGCAGCCACCGCCTACTCTCGATTAGGCTGAATAGTTCGATTTGACCGTCACACTTATAACGCACTCACTGCTGCAAATTGCGGAAGACGTTTTTTGTATCGGGAACAACTAATTAATTAGTTGTTAAATCATTTCTAGAGACTGAATTTCATCTGACACAGTTTTTTTTTACCTATCTTAAATAAGTTCAACGTTTAATGTTGCCTAACTAATGTCTAATGAGATTACGGTTGTTGTCATGGTTAGTAGCTTAAGCCTAATAACACACCAGACTATCGATCGATAAGACCCAGGATCGAAACCCTGACCACAGAAATAGTCCTTCCCAAGACTTCCCTAAGCAGTGGAAACTGGGGATAAAACTAATGAATATTTAGGATCCAGTTATATATATATAAAAAGTTACTAATTAAAAATTCAGCTTAGATGGTCGTTTAGGCAATTATTGATATCCCACAATCTTACCGTAGGCCCGGCATGGCCAAGTGGTTAGGGCACTCGCCATTTCAGCCGTGGGAGCGGTATAATGTGACGGTCAATTCCACTATTCGTTGGTAAAAGAGTAGCCCAAGAGTTGGCGGTGGGTGGTGATGACTAGCTGCATTGCACTGCTAAATTAGGGACGGTTAGCGCAGATATCTCCCGTGTAGCTTTGCGCGAAATTCAAAAAACAAACAAACAAACAAACCTTACCGTAAGTATTTAACGACATCGCGACTTAAGGTGCAAATCGAATAATTAGGGTTCAACGAAAAACCAACCAATTAACTTACAAGTTCGAAATGACTAAAAAACTTCCTTTCTTTTGTTGTTCCTACAACCACGAAAATTACCAATGAATGCACAAGGTACGCCATGTAGGTCAAGCGGCCGAGAACTATGAATGGTTGCCATGACAATAGGGCATTAACAGGACCTAAATATAAAGAAACATACATTGTCAAATAATTTATTTAAAATGTTTGAGAACGTGTATATCATTCAAATAATTCTGACCCATTCTAATTATATTTCAGTTTTATAGTTACAATTTTAAAATATGCATATGATTAACATGTGTTACCGGTAGAGGTCGCTCTTTCTATGTACATTTAATCTCGAAAAGAATATCGGCAGGTAATTTAAAGTATGACGTACTTCAAATATACGAAGTAATTTTTTTTTTGCATTAGCTGATCTCCTTTTTTTTAAGCTGCTGTTATTGTGAATATTGTGTAATTAAGCCAACTTACCTCCGTAACCCTTGAAACAAGCGAACGTTATCCATGCTAAGCCTAAAGCAAACACAGTTCTATGAACAGCAGCATAAAGTATTCCAACAACGACATTAGGCCTTATTCCGTTCATCCAGCTATACGCTCCAAACACTACTGCTAGAGTTGATAATGTTGTAACGATCCATCCAACAACCACAGCGACCTGAGAAAATAACTCAAGAAACATGACTGGAAAAAGTAAAAGACACGTGTCTCACATACATCATATATAAAAAAAAAGACTCAAGGATTAGTACCATAGGTAGTGGAACCGGGGGGCATATGCTCCCTCCAAATTTTGATCCGGTAGCAAAGTGTCCCTTTGAATGGAGAATAGAGACTTGTGTATAATTACACAGGCCTGCGAAGTTAAACTTCATAAAAGTTGTTTTGGTTTTAAAAAACGGATTTTCTATAATTCAGCTATGCAGATTTCGAAAATAATATATATATTTTTTTTCTATCACGTAAGGATTTTTTATAAATTCGGAAGAAGAAAAAACTTACTTAGATCAAATTATTATTTCGACCACAATGAACATTTGTTATTAGTATGTTTGTTAACAAAAATACAAACAAACTGAAGAAAGGGGAAGAACATTGATGTCAAACGAATATGCATCCTCATTCATCCTGATTTTTCTTTGTATGTGAAATATACGTCTTTTAGTCTCACAGCAAACAAGGTACCCATCGTCGGTGCCCCCCAAATTCAAGTTTGTTTCAGAGCCTATAAATAGTATGTAAGCATCATCATTCAAGTAACATGTCTCGCATAATAGATAACATTGATATTTAGGGCTTTGAAACCAAAATATTAAATAAAATTAGTAGTATTTTCAGATCGAAACTTTATAACGCGTATGACTCAAGTTAGATCCAACCAAGGCCGGATCAACTGAAGCTCGTATTAAGTCAAATACAGTTTGAGGAATACACAAACACAAGCGATGGGTAGATAATGTACAAAATATTAATTGTAATATTTACATAAAGTAATAACAACGAATTAATATCGCTGTTGCCATAGAGGCACAGTTTTTCAGTAACAGTTTTAATTTTTATTTTAGTTGAGCGACCCCTTCAATCCGAGGAGGTGGGAGGAGGAATGTACCCTGAATTCAACGATATAAACATTATTTTATTTGAGTTTCTTTTTGCAAAATACATTTCTAATTCTAACAATAATATAGCCAAATTATCATTTAAGAAAAAAGCAGACAACAAAATAAAACAATTTGTGAAAGTCTAAAGCTCAAGCATTTTCTAAATGTTGATTTTTCTTCTTCAGGAATACGTAATAAATTTCTATTCCTGAAGAGTCAACCCTTCATAATTATTAAAAAATTATGTTACAATAAGTTTTATTAAATTTACAAGTTTCGTAGAGGGCGAATGAGTTATAAAACAAAAATGGCGATAGACGTTGCTAATTGCCGTTTACTTGTAGGAGAAGGTCAACAAGGTAATTTTATTGAATATGATCAACGCTGCGTGGCGGAGGTATGTCCTCTACTGAGTGTGTTCCTCTATCTTGTAAAGTGTTTATCCGTTGTTGCACAGTAGCTTTTCACCCGAGTTGTTGTATATTTGAAGAGACGGGCTACCTTTAACACTATCTGAATTCTGTACACAGTTATACAGCACTCACAACTAAAAGAAATCTCTCGACTTCTTTTTTTTCGTTTTGCCTTTGCGGATTGCATTCACTGGCGTAGCCAGGGGGGGTGGGATTTGGCCATGCCCCCCTCCCCGGCTTGTATTCTTATTTTTCACCAGTTTTGCCCTACAATTCTTAATTTCGCTACGTACAATTACGCAGTTTTATGCCCTATAGCTTCAACTTACGCTCAAAATACTATTCACGGTTTCTAAAATTTCAACTTCAGCGTAGTCGCTATTCGTGGTAGCTGAGTGACGTCAATAAAGTGGCATGTTAGTGGCATATTATAACACTCATTTAAGCAATCTAAAGGAAATAATAAAGTTTAAATATTTGAAAAATAAATAGAAATTATATGCAAATATGAATGTTAAGACTCCCTCCCCCATTTTCAAATTCCTGGATACGCCAGTGATTACACTATACACACACAGTAAAAGCTTTGTTATCCGGCATCTTTATATCCGGAAAGCTCTTTTAACCGGTAATTTCAATATCTTCAAATAATAATGCTTATTATAGTTTATTAGTGCTGCACTGGGTTTGTTTGCTTTATTTTTCGCTGGCAAGCTTCAGTTGTTAGCCGCCTGTACTATAATTCATATTTCAAATACTGTACTTATAATAATTGCTTTTATACAATGTTTATTATTGTTTAAAACTGCTGTTGTTATAGACGATGTAGGAATACTGGACTTTAGAACATTAACAAAGTGTGAGCATTTTTCCTGTAAAATATCGTAAGGAAACGTTTCGTAACCGGAATTTTTGCCTACTCGGCATCTGCCAGACCTGTGCAGTGCCGGATAATAAAATGTTTTAAATTAAATCCAATAGATGTCGGGGTACGTAAATATATTATTTGTATGTTTTATATACAGTAGTTTATATAGGTCAGTTTTCCTAAAGTGGGAGCCGCGGCCCCCTGGGGGCCGTGAAGCTTTTTCTGGGGGGCCGCCAAAAAAATGGGCCGAAAACAAAGGTGCTGACTTAATTTTAATTCTAAATAAACAATAAGCCGATAAAAATTATGTTGAATTAATTAAATGATACAGCATATTGAAAGTAGATGTTATTGTTTTGACTACGGTTCTGTTTTTCACTCACCAAGCTAAAGTTATAGGTTGGGGGCCCTCAAACTTATATATTCACGTCAAGAGACTAAAAGAGTTTGGGAACCACTGTTATATGTAACTATTTTGGCATCTGTCGGTCTTAATTTAAATATTTCCTAAGTATTACTAGTTTTTGATATTTGTTTATCTAACTATTCAGCCATTTATTGAATGTTCCCCCTAGCGACTCAACGGTAAGACTTATAACGCTAAAAACCGATACGAATGTTGGGCAGAGCTGTATAGCTTTGAGCTTAACAAGAAACAAACAAACTATTTTTTTTTTGAATTATCAGTGAAACACAGTGATCACATAGTTTAAAGATATACTTACAGGGCTCAGCTTAATGTTTTGGTGGTTGAGCAGAACATATCCTGTTGTTAAGCCTACGATGTACGGTCCCATATGCACGTAAGGCTTCCAGTGTATGTGGAATTCCATGTCAATGATTTTGCTTAAAAAGTAAAACGTAAAACTTATATTTGTAGCGAATACGCGAAATTAGACAATAAATGTAAAATATAATATTTATTTCGTGCATTAAATGTTTTGTATTGTTTATAAAACAGCATTCAGGTTTGGTTTCGAATTTCGCGCAAAGCTACACGAGGCCTATCTGCGCTAGTCGTCTCTAATTTAGCAGTGAAAGACTAGAGAGAAGGCAGCTAGTTATTACCACCCACCGCCAACTATTGGGCTACTCTTTTACCAACCAATAATGGGATTGACCGTCACATTATAACGTCTCCGCGGCTGATAGGGCGAGCATGTTTGATGGGACGGGGATTCGAACCCGCGACCCTCAGATTGCGAGTCGAGCGCCCTAACCGCCTGGCCATGCCGGACTCGAATTTAGGATAGACTTGTTTATCAACACACCTAGTTCAGTTACTGAGTTCTAATTCTGAAGAACGTCGCTTATTGTAGAACCCCGGAGGCTTAGCAGTAAACGTAATGGCTTATAACATTAAAATCCATGGTTCTGTCCCTGCAGTAGGCACAGCACAGATAACCCACTGTGCGTGCTTTGTGATTAACAATAAACATACATTAAATAGTTTTTCTATATATACATATATTTTTAATAAGGAACATTGGAGTACAACACTATTAATGTAAGATATTCATTTAAAAATATTTCAAGGACGTGTTTTCCCTGCTATAGACTTGTTTAATATAGTAGTCTAACTGTTTCACAGCTCGGATGAGGAATTTTGTCTAGCATGATCAGGTCAACTGTGTGAATGTTGGACTTTCGTAGAAACTTATTAGGTAAGTGTTGTGAACTTGATGTTTTTATTACGTTGTATCTTGCATCTTAACTGGCCTTGTGGTTAAGGTTCTGGACTCGCAATCTGCAGCTCGCGGGTTCGAATACCCGGCACCTAATATGCTCGTCCTTTCAGCCGGGGTGGTGGTTATAATATGACGGTCAATCAAATTATTTATTGGTAAAATAATAGCCCAAGAGTTGGTATGGAGTTCATGTTATTTTGCCGCGAAATTCAAACCACACATTTTAACTTGTCGTGCCCTCTTTTGACAATGGACATAAGTATCAGTTAAAATGTAAGCACGCAGATGTCCCAGAAGCTCAGTTAAGCTTTTTAGTTGTTCTTCCCTTTTGTAAGTTAGTTGTTTGCTTTTATGTTAACTGAGGAAACAAAGGTAACATGATAAAAACACACGTAGATCGGGCATGGTCTAGTGGTCAGTATCATGTGTCCAAGATTCGAGCCCGTGATACGCCTCACTTTAATTTGTGGGTGATTTATAAAAGTGTCAGTCATCCTACTGTTAAGATAAGAGTAGCCATGTCGGAGACCGATTGTCCATTCTGTGGCCGGAGTTCTATGCCTGGAGAACCATCAGTGACCATGCGTCGCGTAAATATTAAATACGAAATACGTGCAGAAGGAAATTTGCCAGTCAGAAATACCATCCACGCTAAGTGATTGACTGTCAATCTTATAACGCACCCACAGCTTAAACTTGGAGGAATATTTTCCAAATCGACTCGGTAGCTACGAAATTCTGAGCTCTACCACAGGACCAACGCAGATCATCTAAATTACATAAATTAAATAAACTAATATAAACTGCTTACTCTATGTCGCTACTCAGGAAATTATTGGAAGGTGGGAAATCTTTCCATATCGTAATAACTGCTATCACAAACCAAGATGTCACAACGCCAATGATGCTAAGACTCCAACCAACGCGAGGCCATCTGTTGGCGAGAAAAAAAAGTAATCAAGTCATCTTCTTTTAAATATATATAAATACATCAATTAATTGCTGTGAAGTTTAGTTATTTCATGAAACATAATGTGTTTATATACTTGGAAACATAAATTCTAATATTTACAATTTCGTTACTCACCTGCTAAAAGCAACTAGAAGAATGGGAGATAAAAGATACAGTTGCATGTCCGCTGCGACGTACCACAGTGGGGGTATGCACTGAAATAAACGAATAAAATCACGCTACAGCGTTTCATTAAATTAAGGCCCCGGCATGGCCAGGAGGTTAGGACGCTCGACTCGCAATCTGCGGGTTCGAATTCAAACATGCTCGCCCTTTCAGCCGTGGGGGCGTTATAAATGTGACGGTCAGTCCCACTATCCGTTGGTAAAAGTGTAGCCCACGAGTTGG